AGGCTGATCCTGCAGGAAGGATGAAAAAGGAAAGTCTAAGCTATGCAAGTGGCAGTGAGTCTGTCAGAAGTTGCCCCACAAGCTATGTTGGTTTTTGGTGAATATGATGGAATGTATCAAAAGTACCAATATATACCGAGTTGCATTTTTTACCCTTTTAGTAAGACTGTGTGCATGCAGTTATCATTAGTGATGTGTGGATCGATACCGATTCCTCCGATACCAGTCATTTATGTTCTAGAATTGATTCTCATATTAAAACATCGATATTTTAGTAATGTAGGGTAAATTTGTAGTTTATCATTAACAGCAAACTATATCATTTGGATTGTCTACATTGGAAGGAACTACTTCCTCTTCCGCCTTTAATAGTCATGTGCGAAATACGGCTGTATAAATGTGTCGCAGCCCCACTCACAACAATGGCTGGGTGTAAATGGAGTAATGTGCGGACGTATTTTACCTCCACAAACAGCCAAGATGCGGTTTGTGATACATGTGGCAAGAAAGTGAGGTGTTGTGGCAACACCATTTACCTCGTCAAACACCTCAGAGTAAATCATATCACAGAATATGACGAGCGTATGTTGAGGCGAACTGACCGACAGGTGCTGCTAGGGCAAGACAGACGTCTCTCGAGGAGTCCTTTAGTGCTGCAGGCAGGCAACATGCTCAAATGGTATACAACTTCAGTTTTCTGTATGATAATTCTGCATTATTAAGTGATAAGAACAAGTAATCTGACGTCCTGTAATCATTATGAAGCTATAATTTGAGGTACAATAAAAGATACAGTAAAAAAAAGTTTTTGCACAAAGTATCGGTATCGGATCAGTATCTCCGATACCACCCTGAATTATACTTGGTATCGGATTGGAAAGAAAATCAGTGGTATCGCACATCACTAGTTATCATTTCTTCTAAAAAAACCCCGCTAAAATAAAGATAACGCTAAAACAAATTGCACAACAACGTGTGTACAAATTTCCTGCTCCGTCTTGGCCTCAGGATGTATAGAGGCAAGAATCAAGTGCACCCAAAAGGACTTATTAGCCCTCTTCGTGCTCAGCACGAACAGGGAGAGTGAGAGACTAACAGAGCTGCAGTAGAGCATCACATATGGTCAATGGTAACTTGATTGTCCCCAGTAGGAAATTGATTTGCAGTCTGTCTGTACAGAGAGACAAAAACAGCCCAAATTTTATCATTAAAAAAGTGCAATGTGCAGTGGCAACACCCTTATGGTTTAGTACAACAGCAGCTGGTATAAAAGAGACACTCTTTGTCTTCACTGCAGGCACTTTATACCAACGACCTGAGGGAAGCAGCTGAAAATCATTAAAGAGAGGACGCTCTGAGCATAACATGACAGAGGTTGCCTTCCTCAGCACCTTTAGCAACTTTAAGACCAAGGTCATTGTTACTACGGGACTCAAAAGTCACAACATAAATGTAAAAGTTTTAGAAACCCATGGATTTTATTCTAAGTTACTTAATAAATTGTTGCAACCCAAAGAGCATATAAGCAATAATTTTATATCTCTACAAAGTCAGCTTCAGGTGTTCCTTCATCTTACCAGGTGTATCAATTAGCAGTTAAATCAAGGTAACACCTGAAGAGTATTGCAGGGGTGTTGAACTCCAGGCCTCGAGGGCCGGTGTCCAGCAGGTTTTAGATAACACCATGGGTCAACACACCTTAATCAATTGATTAGTTCATTAGTAGGCCTCTGGAGAACTTCGGCTGTATCCCAATTCAGGGTCTGCAGCCTTAAAGTACGCAGCCTCACCGGTCCTCAAGGGCCGCGTACTCAAAGACCGCTAAGGCCGGAAGTGCGAGGCTTGTGAAATGGGACGGTCTAGCCTCCGTCACGCTGCCCAGGTTGCTTAGCAACCATGATAGCTGGAAACATGTGGTTGACAGAAATGAAGGAGAACATATTTTGTCCGTTTGTTTGTTTCTACATGAGCTTTGTGTGATTTAATAAGTATCTGAGGCTGAGACCACAGGACTGTAAAACATGATTGTTGGGCTTCATTTCTGTACTGAACAGTCATTTAAGATTAGTTAGTAAATAACAATTAGCTAATGTTGTTCATGAGACTAAAGTCATCTCACTGTGGTAATGTAAATATAATATCACTTCTATTGTCACATCACATGTGCAGGTACACTGGTACAGCACATGTGAGTGAACTCTGTGTCAAATACTGAGCTTCAGTAAAGATTCAAGTTGCAG